CTTTCTTTGAAAAATAAAACAACTTCAAAAACAGGCAAAACAAATTTTTTTCAAGTGTCAATATTTTTTATTTTTTTCAATTCAAAATTATTATACAACGTGCTAATGTGTTTAAAAACAGTTTCAGGAAGAGTTATGTGAATTTTTCCAACATAAGAAATGTTATCATCAGGTATAACAATCAAAATATGTTTAAATGGTACATAGCAAATATCTACATTTTTAGGCCAATAAAAAATATTTTCTTTAAATTTCTTCAGACAGTTAACTTTTAAATCATCATTTTTATCATCTCTTTTTATAATGTTTACTAAATACCATTTCTTATTATAGACCAAAGGTACAAATCGACCCGGCTCATAATCATCATTGGTGTCTTCACTTTCATTTTTATTAAAATTGTATCCAAATAAATCTGAAGACAAACGTTTCATCAAAAGTTGATCATTTTTGTCTGGAATAAATGAGTGATGACTTCGACAACCCTTTATTTTATCTGCTGACCTAAATCTTTTTCAAGCATTCCTAGCAGATCTTTAATTTCTTTTTTGTCTACCCAAAAAAATTTAATACCATTTATTTTCGCATCAGCGTATGTGTAAAAATCTCTGGCGTTCAATATCTGATCTTTTTTTGATGCCTGCAAACTTGCTCTTGCAACCAATCTTTTTGTTGTCCCTCCAATTCCATCGCAAGGACTTTTACCATGAAAAGTTGCAAAAAAGTGCCATTCTGCTTTTAATCCAAAATCCTCTTTTGTGATGAATTAAATTAGAAAAATTTTTGTATTGACTTACCGCACCATCAGAAAAATATTTAATTAAAGTAACGTTTTTCAGGTTTTGTTTTACATAGTTAATTAAATGTTTTTGAAAAGCATAAACAGCGGAAACATTGTGATCGAGACAGTCGCTAATCATGCAAACGCTTTTGACAGATAAGTTTTCATAAATAAATAAATAAGTTTTCTGTAATAAAGAACAATTGGGTGAAGAGTAACTTGCGTGTTGCTCCAATGTTGACTCTGGATTGCATCCTGTATTATCACCGAATAATTTTCAGCAAAATCCATTAAAGCAATACACTCCGAACTTTTTAAATTTTTTTAGAATCGCTAAGATATTTCAATTGTTCTTTGCTTATGTAACGATGCGATGACAACTCGTCAAGTTTTTGCGAAAATCTTTCAATGAAACTGTCAACTGTATCCTGTACGGAAATCAATGAACTGCGATTATCATCATGGGAAATTACAGCTTCTTTGAAAATCGCTCTTAAGTTATTTTCGACACTCAGTTTTCCTGGGCATTCCTCACATCTGTGTAACATACATTCTAAATTTTAAATTGAAAAAAATAAAAAATATTGACACTTGAAAAAAATTTGTTTTGCCTGTTTTTGAAGTTGTTTTATTTTTCAAAGAAAGCAAACGCCAATTTTATTTTTTGATATGTTGTTAAGCTATAAAAGCACTATATAAACAAATTTTAAAAATTAAAAAACGTTTGGTTCTTCATAGTTAAAAATGGCGCCAAACAAAAGAAGTTTTTCATATTTTTGACATTTTGAGCTCCGATAGCTCAAAAAATTCAATACAGATTTTAACGAAATTTTGTGATTTATTTGTGACTTTAAGGTACTTCTAAAATAACAAAAAATATTTATTTATTTTGCGATAGATTTTGAGCTACGCTGTTTTGAAATCGGTGAAATTTTCAAAAAATTCATTTTTTTCTAGATTTTTTGTTCAAAATATCCTTTGATTCGAGACAATAACATTTATTTTTTTTGTTATTACATTGTTTCACTGATATGCACAAAAAATTTCATCAAGATATGTTGGCTAGTTCAAGAGATATAGCGTTCTACGTAGGTACAAGTTTTGAAAAAAATCGCTCAAAAATTTGAGGATGCTGTCACAAAAATCTTCATAACTTGAAAAATAATTGAAATTTTTTTATAAAAATTTTATTTTGTCGATGAAATACATTGAGGTACTTACTGTTCAAATTTAAAAAAAATCGGAGATGGTCGGGCGTGGACCATGGTTCAAGTTGACAGAGAATGACCCCTATATATATGTATGTATCACATATATATATTAATATATATGTATATATACATATATGCATACATACAAAATATTGCTTTTACGATGGTAAACAAACAAACAAATCAATCAAAACACGCTTCTACATAGGCCTTTTCAAGAAGATGTCTTTGAAAGCACTCGTGTCTCCTCTGTGTATACGTACGTACCAATCACTAAGCCCGCTCTTCTAAGTCCGCTTAAAAACACGCACATTTGTGCAAGTAAGCAAACACACACATTCATAAATATATGTGCGTGTGATTATTGTGTGAGTGTGCGTGTGTGTAAAGAGGACTCATTGCGAAAAGTAAAAGAATGGTGTAGAAAGCCGTGGTTTATACTTCGGAATAATTAATTAAGAAGCATGTTTATTCATATGCATTCATACACAGACACGCGCACACATACACGCACACACGCACTTTTTCAAT